TCCCTGCACCGTCCTCCCTGCTGGGCATGGGCCAGGGGAGGCTTTTACAGGCAAACACACGGAAACTCGGAAGTCCATCTGAGTTTTCCAAACCTAAATCACATTTATACTCATGGTAAAGTGATGCAGAAACAGCACAGGTTTTTCCATAAAGACTGAAAAGAATGTTCCAGAGCACTGCCACTCAGAACTTCCGTCACTGCCCACTGTGGCAGCCACTGGCCATGCGTGGCCACCGAGCCCTTGACATGTGGCTGGTGGGATGCAGAAACTGAGTCTGTCATTTTAATTTTAATTTTAATTTTAATTTTAAACAGCCCCATGTGGCTAGTGGCTGCCTATTGGCTGGCACGGTGCTAGGATTTTCTGGGTTCAGAGGGCACATGTCAGCAGCCGTTCCTTGTGGGGTGGCGGAAAGGGCAGCCAGGCTGTGGCTGGCCCTGTCTCTCCACTGGGGCCTCCTGGACAAGCCTGCATCCTCCCTGGCCTCAGCGGCTCCCTTTGGAGAGCGGGAAGGCAGTGATGGCGACTAGTGCTGCCTGATCAGGCTCTTGTGAGTTTGACATGAGGCCAAACACGCAACCCACTTGAGCTCAGGGCTGGCCACACACCAAGGGCTCGGCCACCCCAGGCTTTGCCCACAGGCTTTCGCCCCGCCTGACCCTGGGGAGGATGGAGGAGGGGCACCTGGGAGGCTTGGGACTGTTTGCTCATTTGTAGGACCTCGAGGACTCACTGAGCACCCACTCCATGCCCAGTCCTGTACTGGGCTCTGAGGGTACGGCTCCTCCCTCAGGGAGCGCTTCAGCATCAGGAGCTCCTGGGGCCACCTGCACCCAGCGGTGGGCTCTGCCCCTGTCCTGGCCTCCTCCCTGACAGACTAGGAGGCCCCAAGACCTGGGGGTGCAGCCCCTGCCCTCCTGGGGATGTTAGCTGGGCTCAGGAGAGGATGGAACTTCGTGTCCAACTAGGGTGCTCCCTGGGGCTCAGAGAAATGGGGGCTCAGGTCGGGGGCACTCAAGGTGCAGAGAAAGAGAATGCAAGGCACCCTTGGTGCGGGAACAGAAGGTGCGGAGGCGCGGACGAAGGCACAATCGGGGTGCGTTGGAGGGATGTGGTCAAGGTTGGGCCCCACCTGGGGTCTGCGGTGCCCCTGGGGCTGCAGGGCCAGCCGCATCCCCGTGGCAGAGCGTGGGGCCACCTGAGCCAGGTGGGGACCACAGCACCACAGTCACATGGGAATCAGCTGGGGGTGGGGAGCTCGTTAAGTGCAGGTACAGACCTCCTCCCCAGAAGGCCCGACTTGGTGGCTCAGGGTAGCCTGGGGGTGGGGACGCAGGACGGCGGTGTGTGGGGTGGGTATGGGCCTGGGACACTGAGGTGCCTGGGTGTCCACGGGGGGGCTGTGCCTCCATCGTTGTTACCCCCATTCTACAGATGAGGAAACCGAGGCTCAGGAAGTTCGGAAGCACATCTAATGTCCCCAGACAGGAAGAGTAGGGTCAGGACTTGATCACAGGGCCCCTCAGACACAGAGAGAGAGAGAGAGAGAGAGACGCACACATGTAAAAACAGGGGCACATTCACTAGGACTTAAACCAAGGTCTGTTCGGTCGGCACCTGAGCTGTGCCTGGGCCCCCGCCCCACCCCTCAGGGCAGCTGGGAGGCATTAAAATACAGCTTCCCGGGCCTCGCAGCCCACGAGTGGGACTCAGGGTCTGGACTAGGCCTTGGACTCTGCATCGCACCCAGCCCCTGGGAAGGGCTGGTTCACGCAGGTCTGGCTGAGAGTCCCGGACTCAGGGTAGGGGTGTCTGCCCCAGAGGACGTCTGTGTCTCTGCCTGTGGTGCTGTGGGGACAACCCGAGGCTGGAGCAGACAGACTGGGGTTCGAGTCCTGGTCACGATTACTTTTACCGCTCTGGCCTCAGCTTTTCCATCTGTAAAGTGGGGCCGTACACTCCCTGTCCCTCTCCTGAGGCTGTCACAAGAACTCAGGGAGACAGAGGATGGCTCTGTGAGCGCTAGAAGTGCTAAACGTGACAGCCCGTGTCAGCCATGCTCCATGTGGGTGGCCTGGGGTCACGCAAGCAGATATTTGAGTAGCATGACGATGTGTGGGGACACAGAATGGTGGTGGGCGCAGGACCAGCCCTCTGTGAACAAGAGGCAGGGCAAGGGCAGAGAGATGGCCGAGCCGGGCTCAGTGACCCCCAGGGGCAGTCAGGATACAGAGGCCGCCCCGAGCTTGGGGCCCAGGGGGGCAAAGACTGGCCAGAGGAGGTTCTTGGGCTGGGAAGTGCCCACATGGGAGCCAGGAGCCCCAGCTCTGGTCCTTCCCTGGTCTATGACATTGGGGACAAACCACTTCCCTTCTCCCGGCCTCAGTTTCCCCCTGGGTAAAAGGAAGGGTGAGGTCAGGCGATGTCTGAGGGGGCTTCCGCATAGAGAGACCAGAAGACAGAGGTGAGCCTCCAGGACGGGCACAGTTTGGGGGGCAGAGGAAAGGCGGGAAGGGTGGGCCCTGCAGGGGAACGGCAGTGTGGAGCCGCAGCGCAGGGACAGTGCGCAGGTGGGTGGTCGGGGGCGGGGCAGGGCAGACATCCATGGCTACAGTCGGCTGCTGCCCCTCCCCTGTGGGAGGGGGTGGGGCTGAAGAAAGGGGGAGCCCGTGAAGTCCACAGATGGCGAGAAAAAAATCAGGACAGCACTTGATTCGGCCCCTGCTACGAGGCAGTCATGGTCTCCTCCATGGCCCTCGCTCTGCGGGAGACGGGCTCGGCGCATTTCCGAGACTGCTCAGGCCTCAGTTTCTCTGTCTGTGAAATGAAGGCAGCGTGTGGCCCGGAGCCAGGCATACAAGAGGGACCCCATGCATGGAGGCCACCAGTGGCGGCAGCTGCAGGGACAGGCATACGTGACCCCAGAGCCCAGACCTGCCAAGTTCTTCCAGGCCCCGGAGGACTCGACTAAGACGATCACTCACATTAACGTTGGTGTTAATGTCAATGACAGCTAAGTCAGACGCTGTTCTGGGTGCTTGACCTGCATTAACACATTTCACCCTCACAACCCCCTGTGAGATAGGAACTGTCTTTATGCCCATTTCACAGAGGAACAACTGAGGCTCGGAGAGGGTAAGTCGGCGGCCCCGGGGCACACGGGGAGTGGAGATCAGGATTCGAGCCCAGAGCCCAAGCTCCTAATCACACGGCCCAGTCTGTGAGGCTTCCCTCCACCAGAGTTCCACTCATGCTGCCCAGGAGCCTGGTTTGTTTACAGGTCGCCCCACCACCACCTGGGGCTCTGGTGGGGCGCCCACCTTGAGCAGCCTGCCAGCATGTCTCAGCTCTTGTCCTCCATGTGGCCTCAGCACCAGGCGGGTGGACAAGGGCCCTGGCAGCTCCAATTGGTTACCGAGCAGGAGTGGGGCTCGAACCACCAGAGGCTGGGGGTGAGGAGGGAGGGGTGGGGGCCAGGCAGGCGTTCCTGACAGTGGGTGGCACACTCCCTCCGCCTCACTCCATGGTCTCCACGGGCCCAGGGGGACAGATGGCGTCACCCGGGCCTGAGCTGTGGCTGTCACCCGGCCAGATGAGTTACAAGCGGGCGGAAGGGACGGCAGCCGGGCCGGGGGGCTGCAGAAACAATTGCATTGAGACCCCAGGACAATGGGGGCCACGTGCCACAGGGGCAACAGTCGTTTGTCACACAATGGGCCGCGGGGGGGACAGCAGCCGGGGCCAACCGCCGACGCTGACACGGGCCGGCCGAGTTTTCAAATCATTTCCAGGACCTGTTTTCCTACAAGGCAGCCAATCGCCGGGGCGGCTGGGCGGTCACCTGATGCCAGCCTGGTGGGCTGAGGGCCCAGGCCCCAGGACAAGTGAGCAGCAGTGGCCATGGCAACGCTAATTGTGGCCCTAAAACACAAGGGGAAAGAGAGCAGGGGAGAGGGGAAGAGGGGCGGGGAGAGAGAGGAGGGAGCCCACCAGGCTGAGGCGGCCGGCAACGGCGGGAGGGTGGAGGCTATGCCCCGCTGTGGGTCCACGGGCACGCACACGAGAAACCAGGGGCTTTCTTGTTCTCCTTTCTTTCCTCTCTCCCTCCCAGCTCTGTGAGGCCCCGAAGCACCTGTCTGTGGAACCTGGAGCTTAGAATGTGGGGCTCAGGTGTCCTCGGGGCAGTAAGCAGACAGCCCCTGGTCGGCAGGATGGCAGGCGTGGTGGGGAGTCGTGTGGGCGCTGGGCCGGCTGGCAGCCCCATTAGAACCTGGACAAGATGCTGGTGGGGAGCCCAGTGCTCTCGCAATTGGGGTACCTCCCTGGCATCCTCAGGGGGCAGCCTTTTTCCTTCCATGGAAAGCAACATTTTTGCTCCTGAATCTGTTAAGCACTAGGCGGGGAAGGAGGGGTGTGGGTCCTGAATGGAGCCTTCAGGGGCTGCCTGGGGTCACAGGGAAGAGCCTGGGCTTCAGGCCACGTGGCCTGGGTTCCAGCCCCACCACTTCCTGTTCCATGTGGTGGTCTTGGGCAAGTGAATCGGTGTCTGAGCCTCAGTTTCTCCATCTGTAAAAAGGGGATATGGGCATATCCTCTTGGGGTTGCTCGGGAGATGGAATGGGACTATGCTTCCTGAGCACTGACCCCAGTGCCTTAGTTTTCCCACCTCTACAATGGGAATGATACTAATACCGACCTTATGGATTAACTGGGAATGTTAGATGTGCTAATACCTCTGATACGGTGCTTGGTACATGGTAAGCATTCAGCAGACACCAGTGTCTATTACCTTGGGATAAGGACTCAGGAGTGTGCGTTTAGAGTGAATGAAGGAGTGATTTGAGGATGTGTGGCCTGGCTGCCAAAGAGAGGCTCCTGGGGCCAGGATGGGCGGACTGGGGAGGTGAGGGGCTAAGGGGGAGGCTTCAGAGGTGGGGGAGACCCCTGGCACTAGCCTGAGCTCCCCACCCCTCCCGAGCTCCTGCCCCTCCCTGCAGGCTCCTGGCTGCCGCCAGCGATGAGGACCTTCCCGGGGACCTGCAGTCACTGTCGTGGCTCACGGCCGTGGACGTGCCTCGGCTACAGCAGATGGCAAGTGGCCGCGCGGACCTGGGCGGCTCTGGCACACCCCACCCACACCCAGGTAGGCTCAGGGGCACGGTGGGACAGCGTGAGGGTGAGACAGGGGAGGGGTGATACCCAGAAATGCCACCCACTGGCAGGTCACTCTCTCTCTGGGCCTGTCTTTATAGCTGTGGTATGTGACTAACTCCGTCTTCCTCGGAGGGATGCGATTGGTTCTTTTGCTCGCCACTCCGTGCTAGGTCCCGTGGGAGCTGCGGCTTCGGTGTGAAATGGGCAGACCCGCCCCTCCCAGCAGTCTGCACGCATGGCCCACGGGCCAAACGCAGCCCGCAGCCTGGTTTTCCACAGCCTTTATGTTAAGAGTGCTGTTTCCATTTTTCAAGGGTTGTAAAACAAAAACAAAAACAAAAACATATGGCCAGCAAAATCTAACGTATTTGCTATCTGACCCCTCATGGAAGTTCACTGACCCCTCGGTCTAGAGATGAGGGGAAGACTCGGAAAGCACGGGGCACGGGGCCTGACCCCGGAGGCGCTCCCTGTGACCGGCAGCCAGCTGCAGCCACAGCAAGGGCGTGAAATGCCCAGAAAGTGCCAAACAGAAGCCATCAACAAAAGCACCCGTCCTGCTACATTGAAAGCATTAATATTTGAAAAAAAAATGAGCATCTAGGATATTTCTGCCATTGGACAAATTGTTCTTGGCCAGAACATCTGTAGCAGAGGTCAGCACACTTTTTCTAAAAAGGACCAGGTTGTAAATATTTTAGATTATACAGGTCATTCGGCCATTGCAGCGCATAACCATCCATTGACAATATGTAAATAAATGGGCGTGGTTGTGTGCCAATAAAACTTTATTTACAATAACATGCTGTGGGCTGGATGTGGCCTGCTGGCCATAGTTTGTCAACCCATGATCCAGAACCCCTGAGGGGACATTGTGTCACCCAGGACCTGTCCCCTCTGACCTGGTCCCTCGCCTGTGATGAGAGGATAACAGGACTGTCCTCATGGAGTGTTGCGAGCATTCAGTGCAGAAAGTGTCTTGCACACAGTAGGTGTTTGATGAGAGGTAAGTGTGCCATAAGGCAGCCCTTCCTTCGCTGTGTTGGCACGTACTTCCTGTGTGCCTGTCACGGTGCATTTGGAGCACTGAGTCATATACTCTGTGGTCCCGGCTCTCATGGAGCTGAGGGCAGAGACAGAAGGACAAGGCAGACGGACCAAGACACAAAGGATGAGCCCAGGTGGCAGCCAGAACTCAGGGGAGAGCTGAGGGTCCCTGAAGGCTTCCTGGAGGAGATGGCTCAGGGCTGGATCCTCTTGCAGGTCAGCTTCGCTTGACTGCAGGTGGCTACCTAAAATCAGGCTGACGCAGGGCAGATCTGTGATAGGTTAGCAATGTCTGTCACAGGCCCAGCACGGCATGCAGGGTCTGTATACCTGCGATTACTGAGCTAATCCTCGGCAGAGGAGCAGGGCTTGGCAAAGGGGCAAGGAGGCACAAAGGCAGCTGGACCTGACCCTGGAGGCGCTGGGGAACTAAGGCACGCTTGGGAGGAGGAAAGATGAACAGTGAATTGATGTTTTAGCTTCATGAAGGACAGAAGCCAAGGTATTAATTACCATCATCATTACCATGATTAGTACTTGTGGCTCACGTTTACTGAGACAGTGTCGCGTGCTCAGCAGTGTGCTAAGCACTTCACAGACATTATCTCATTTAACTGTCACGACGACTCTACAGGTAGGTAATGGCAGTAGCCCCATTGTACAGGTGGGGAAACTGAGGCAGGTCCACGGTTATACAGCCAGTAGGAACCCACTCTTCATAACTACACCCGAGGGAAGTGACTTGCTGAGCACCTACTATGTGCCTGGTCCCAGTGGTGTGGCACAGCTCTGTTCTCTGGAGGTGCCTGCGGCCGCCATTCCTCCAGTGCAGCGACATCTCTCTGCTTCCCTCTTGCAGGTTCCTTGGCTGGGCTGGCTGACCTCCACGTGGGAGCCGCCCCAGGCCCCCTGCTCCATGGCCCGGCTGGCATGGCCCCCCCGGGTGTGCTGGGCCTGGGCCCCCTGGCCAGCCACAGAGCCGGCGTGAGTGCTGCTGCGTGGGCTGGGGAGAGGCCCGGGGGTGTCCTGCGGGTCTGGCGTCTCTTCTGTCCCCCTGACCCTTTGTCTCCTCCTCTCCCTGCCCTGGCAGATGAGCCAGTTCCCCGTGGGGGGCCAGCCCTCCTCCAGCCTGCGCGACCCACCGCAGATGTACGCTCCGGCTCCCCAAGCACGGTTCCCACTCCCCCCGGGCGCCCAGCAGGTACAGGGGCTCGGAGGGGCTCCGGATTCAGGGGCAGACACCCCTGACTCTGACCAGCCAGGGACCTCTCTGAGCCTCAGTTTACTCAGCTGGGACATGGGGGTAATGTTCTCCACTGAGTCCGTGTCCTGGGCCCTTCATGCCGTCCTCCCGAAAGCCCTGCTGTGGTGGAGACGAGGTTGTCTCCAGGGGTTGTAACCCACCCCCCCATCTCATCTTGCTTCTCTAGACTGGGGTGGGGGTGGGGTTACTGTGAGTGACTCATGCTCTCTCTCACCCTCTCTCTCTCTGCTGCCTGTGCCCTGCCCCTGCCTGCGGGAAGTGCCCTCCTGTGGGCCTGTATGGCTCCCCGTTTGGGGCACGACCTCCCTACGCCCAGCCCCGTATGGCTGTGCTTTCATCTCAAGAACTGCACCCCAAACACTACCCCAAGCCCATCTACTCATACAGGTGAGGTCCAGGGTGGGCCGGGCCGAGGGGGCTCGAGGAGGAGAGGGGTGAAGGATGCCTTCAGGGCGCCTCCGACGGCGAGATGCGGTGGCCCGGACTTCCAAGGGGGAGGCTTGGGGGACTGGGGAACCCCCAGGTGGGATATCCTCTTGGGAGAGACCATCACATGGGCAGTCAATCCCCAAAGAGCCCAGGACTACACTCTGTCCCTCACACGCTGTGTGGCCTTGGGGAAGTGGCTTGGCCTCTCTGAGCTTCAGTTCCCTCTGATGTCTAGAGTCATCAAAATAATAGCATTGTGTGTCTCATAAGATTTAGGGGTTGGGGGGTAAACAGCATAGTTAAAGTCTAAAGGCCCATAGACATTAAGTAAGGGGGAAGGGGTAAAGAGAGGAAAAGAAGAGGTTTCTCAAACTGATGCCAATGGCCGAGCTCGGGGTCAAGGAAAGTGGCAGGGGCCAGGGAAGATGTGAGGCCATGAAGAGGTATCTATAGTTAACGCCATACAAGTGTAGGGGCAGGTACGGGGGTGGGGGGGGCAAGCAGGGCAGGCTTCCTGGCAGAGGCAACCTTGGGCGGTCAGCCTGAGACACCTCCCTCATGCCTGGCCTGCCCACCCTTTTCCTCCAGCTGTCTGATCGCCATGGCCCTGAAGAACAGCAAGACTGGCAGCCTGCCTGTGAGTGAGATCTACAGCTTCATGAAGGAGCACTTCCCCTACTTCAAGGTGAGGAGCCCAGCCCAGGGTAGGGGTGCCAGGGCTGCTCTGGCCTCTGCATGACACTGTCAGACCCAGCAATGCCCCCAGGGTGAACGGAGCCGCCCTTTTAGGCCCCGGCTACATCTGCAGACCTGGTGGGAAGGACACTTGCACATGCGCACTCACACAGACATGGGCCCAACAATCCAGGGAGAGAAGGGGGAATTTGAGCTGGGCTCTGATGGATGAAGAGGAGCTCACTAGGCAGGCATCCCAGGGGCCAAGGGTAGAGGGGTCCACCTAGTTATTCAGTACAGACTTGGTAAAATATGATGGTGTTGCAAAACAGACCTGGTGAGAGCCTTTGCCTCTCTGAGCCTCAGTTTCCTCATCTGGAATCCAGGGCGGAATAATGCCCAGCCAGCCAGGTTAGTGAGGATTCTGCAGGTTAAGGGCCTGCAGCACCTGGCACGTGATTGGCCATCAGTAATGTTATCCTTGTTGGCACCAAGCAAGCAAAGGAGCAGGAGGTCAGCGGGTACCAAGCTTGGGGTCCCTAGCCTGCAGAGTGTCCTTAGCAGCAATATTGTAGCATAGTGGTATGTGTGGGGGGGGGGTGGTGAGGAGGGAGGGAGGAGAAGGGAGAGGGGAGCGGGGAGAGCAGAGAGAGAATAGGGTAGGGCATGAGGTCTATTACAGTATCTAGTTACCTAACAATAAAGTAAAAGCATTTAAAAATAATTGGCATTTAATGCACTTGGCCGGTTATTCATGTATTAGCGTCATCCTGCTCGCTGGCTTCCTGCGTGGGAGAGAAAGAGTGGAAAACCCACCAGCTCTGGGCCTTGTTCTCATGTGGTAACAAAAGCTGGAGCTGAACTGCAGCTGCCCCTTTAATCAGAGTAGTGGCCCTCCACTTTGCCACAGTCCCCACCACTCTCTCTTGTCTTTCCAACTCAAGGCTGAGTGTCAGACAATGTCCTTTAACCATGCTACTGCCCCCCACCACGCGCTGCCCCTCTAGGCTTGAGTTGGCGATGCCCCCTGGAGCGGAAGGAGGGGTGTACAGAGAAGTTTCCGGAGGGCTCTCCCCTGCTCCCCTTTCTCCCCACAGACGGCGCCTGACGGCTGGAAGAACTCGGTGCGGCACAACCTGTCCCTGAACAAGTGCTTTGAGAAGGTGGAGAACAAGATGAGCGGGTCCTCGCGCAAGGGCTGCCTGTGGGCCCTGAACCTGGCGCGCATCGACAAGATGGAGGAGGAGATGCACAAGTGGAAGAGGAAGGACCTCGCGGCCATCCACCGGAGCATGGCCAACCCTGGTGAGGCCTGGGCTCTGCACTGGCACCCCCCATGCTCCTCCCCTCCCCTCCAGTAACAAGTCCCAGCTACCGTGGCAGGGACATGGGCATCTGGCGGACGTCCCTCCCTCTGCCGGTGCACGACACCTCCCATCCCCCACTGCTCCCCAGTGGCTGGTCCACGGAGGCGCCTGGTCAGACACACGAAGGGCTGTTGAGTCTCACTAAGCAATCTCAGCCTCTCGCTGAGAAATGCTGAATGAAACAACCATGGGAGAGGGCTGCGTTCTCATCTTCTACCATGTCAGCACAGCTTTACAAAGTACCAACAGCCTGAGTGGGCCAGGGCAGGGGCGGCGACAGGGGCGGGGACAGGCGCCTGCGCAGGAAGGTGCGTTGTTCGTCCTCTCCAGGGCAAACCAGCAGATCACAGCCCCACGCTGTGCCCAGTCATGGGCCCAGTTATTCGACTTCCCGCAGTTTAGGCAGAAGAAATCCAAGATCAGTGTGTGTGTGTGTGTGTGGGTGTGTGTGTGTATAAACACACCCCTATGTATATGTTCACGCTCCTTATATGTATAGCTGTATGTATGTGTACACACACATCTATATAACTATATCCAAATATAAAGAGAGAGACAGGGAGAAATATACCAAAACCTTTGCTGTCAATGAAGATTTTGAGATATATATATATATATTCTTTACTGATGATTTTTAGATTCTTCACGTTTCTGTATTTTCCAAATCATCTGCCCTGTGTGTGAATTACTTTTGTATTAGACAAAATATTGCATCTGCATTTTTAAAAGTAACAGACGTGGAGGGGAAGAAGACATACAAGCCACAGACAGTCGGAGGGTGGGGAGGGGGAGGCTGAGCCCATCCAGCCTCGGGAATACCCGTCCAGGCCCTGCGCCCTGGTCCCGCCTGAGGCGTGGGCGTGCGGGGGTGGGGGTAGCGCTCAGAGGTGGACAGTGCAGTGTGGCGGGGACGGGGGCCACAGCAGCATCCAGCGGCTCCCAGCTGTCCACAGAGAACTCTGGGGTCGGGCTTGAGGCCCAGGGCCACCCCTGACCTCATTGTCGTGTGATGCCCTTGGGCAGGCCACCTCAACTTCTAGATGCTAAGCGTTCTCGTTTCTAAAGTGGGTGCAACCCAAATAGGTCTCGGGACCCTCGTGGTCTGGTCTCAAAGTGTGTTTCAGTCGGTGAGGTGCCAGCCAACAACCGAAAGTAGCTGGAGAGCAATTTGAGTCTCGGTTGTTCCCAGCAGCAGGGAGGAGGGTCCGGTCGAACCCAGAGCCACACTTCCTACTGTCTCCGCAGTAGCAGGGAGTGGCTAGGCCCCCATGTGTGTTCATGTTGTCCCGGTCCCATGGGATCTGTAACCCCTGCCTCACCTCCCTCTCGCAGGGCTGTCCTGAGGTTCAAGGGCAGGCCTGGAGTTACAGGACCGTCCTCTAAAGCACTGTCCCTGTGAGAGGAGCCGACATCATTACCCGAGGCTCCTCTCATTCCTCAGAGTTCCTACGTGGTTTGTGATTTCGCTGCGTTTCCACGGTAACCCTGTACAGTCTGTGATGCGTCTCTCAGATGAAGAGACTGAGGTTCACAGAGGCCAAAAGGCTTGCTAAAGCCGCACAGGTGATAAGGCTGGGACCTGAAGCTGGGCCTGGGCTAGAGCCCCGAAACTGTCCCGTGGCCTCTCAGTGACCTCTCCCACTTGCCTGCAGAGGAGCTGGACAAGCTGATCTCAGACCGGCCGGAAAGCTGCCGACGCCCCGGCAAACGGGGGGAGCCCAGGGCCGCCGTGCCGACCCACGCCACCACGGTGGCCATGGCCCACGGCTGCCTGGCCGTCTCCCAGCTCCCGCCCCAGCCGCTGATGACCCTGTCCCTGCAGTCAGTCCCCCTGCACCACCAGGTCCAGCCCCAGGCACAGCTGGCCCCAGACTCCCCTGCCCCAGCCCAGACCCCGCCCCTACACGCCCTGCCGGACCTGAGCCCCAGCCCCCTCCCCCACCTGGCCATGGGAAGGGCCCCTGTGGACTTCATCAACATCAGCACCGACATGAACACCGAGGTGGATGCCCTGGACCCCAGCATCATGGACTTTGCTCTGCAGGGTGAGGCTGGAGGAATGGGTGGTGGGAACAGAAATGGGAGGGAAAATCTGGGTGGGGGGCAGGAAGACAGAGGAGGGCCGTCTGCATTTACCGCCCCCCAGCTCATTCCTTCAACAGACACTTCCCAGCCACCTAGTGATAGCAAACTACATCAAGCATTTAATGAGCGCTTACTGTATACCAGGCGTCTTGCCGAGCATTTCACAGGCAATGTCCCACCTCATCCTACAGCAGGCCTGTGGGGCCGCTGCCACGTCATATCCCCGTTCTACCAGGGAGGAAACTGAGGCAAAGAGAGGGCCCGAGGTCACCTGGCTAGTAAGTGGCTGAGCCAGGATTTCAAGTGGGTCCCCCTGACCCCAAACGTAACTGCTTCTTCCACTTGCATGTGCCAACCTGGCGCCAGGTCACACTGACCCGCTGTGCGGGATACGTGGCCATCCTCAATACAGGGGAACAAATGAGTGAATGAATGAAGGCAGTTCTGGTTTCAGCGAAGGCTCGTGAGTCATCCTCACACTGACACGGGTGCACCTACTAGGTGCCAGCCCATAGCCTCTGCCCCCTAGGCATGTCTAGCGAGGACAATGGACAAGTCAGTGGGGTAGTCAGTCAGTCAGAGCTGTGAAATGGGTATGTTTGAACTTCCCCCTGGGTAATCGCACTGTTCAACTGCTATGAAGAGAGGAAAATCGTTGTTTGTCCCCTGGCTTTGACCATGGTGGTGCCACTTGATGAGGGCTCCGTGCTTTCCACACATCCCCTAGGGCAGGCATGTCAAACTCATTTTCGCTGGGGGCCACATCAGCCTCAAGGTTGCCTTCAAAGGGCCGAATGTCATTTTAGGACTGTGTACATGGAACTGCTCCTTAACAGTTAAGCAAGAGCTCGGCGCTGCCGCCAGGTAGAAACAAGGTGCTGGGCCGGATAAAGCAAGGTGGAGGGCTGAATTCGGCCCACAGGCCTTGTGTTTGCCACCTGTGCCCTAGTGGCAGTGCTGGGGGTCGGTTCTCAGATCACCTCCACTTCGTTCCTGGAGCCCGAGGCTCTGGGACAGAAGTGACGTCCCCAAGGACACGCAGTGGGAAGGTGAGGGCCGGAGCTGGACCTCTGCCTCCTCTAAGCTGTTCTCTTGCAACATGCATATTTTTCCTAATTTTATTTTTTAATTTTATTTGTATTGCCAACACTATCACAGAGGTCCCCGTTTGCCCACCTCCCTCCAGCGCCCACCCTTCCTGCAACATGCGACTTTAAATCCCACACATGGCCTTGGCCTCCTCCCAGAGGGGGGAATTCAAACTTGGGTCTGTGTGACATGGAACCAGCTCACCTAAGCGCTTTTGTCTTTGAAAGGGAACCTCTGGGAGGAGATGAAGGACGAGGGCTTCAGCCTGGACACGCTGGGGGCCTTCGGAGACTCGCCCCTGAGCTGTGAGCTGGGGGCGTCGGGCCTGGCCGCCGTCTCCGGCAGCAGCGGCCAGTCCTTCCCAGACTTGCAGGTGACGGGCCTGTACACCGCGTACCCAACCCCGGACAGTGTGGCCGCGGCAGCTGCCACCTCCTCCTCTCAGTACCTGGGGGCCCCAGGGAACAAGCCCATAGCCCTGCTCTGAGCCGACGGCCCCCACGGGGAGCCTCTGGGGCCTCCCAGGTCAGACGGACAGGGGACAGTGGACGAGCATCCTGACCTCCCCTGAGACCTGAGATGTGAAGCTTCCAGCCCGCTCCCCTGCTGGGCTCCCCGCACGACCTGCAGCCCACTGTGGGGGGCCTTGGTGCAGCCGGGGAACACCCTGGTGTGAAGGGAGGCCCTTTAATTTATTCTTCTCGGATAAAACGTCTGCCTCAGCCTCAAGGGGACGGGCCCTGAGGCCCGGAGTGGAGCTGGCGACCTGTCTAACTTCTCTTGGACTGGAACAGGCCGAACTCTCCGAAATAGGTGCCTGCCCCGCCGGCCGCCAGGCCCGCGTCTGCAGTAGTCTGTTAGAAGTACATGGCTCAGATTCCCGGGCCACCGCGACCCTGCGTCCATTTATTTATATTTATTGGAGCCCCGTCAAACCACCTCTTCACGTCCAGCCCGCAGTCCCCGGAACGTGACTCGCTGGTCCGTCTCTGCATCCCGGCAACCCTAACGCCAAAATCATCCTCAAATCACATCCCTGGCTGGCTCTTCATCACTTTGCAGCCTTGGGCTGCTTTTTAGAACAAACAAGCACTTTTGATACTGTGAAACATCCCATTTTTTAAAAATTAGGGACCAGATAGTTTTCTACCTGCTCAGTCATGATTCAGCTCTCCCCACGTGGACCTAAGAGGGGAGGTGCCGTAGTTTCACGTCCTACGGGCTTTCTGAGGGCCAGTCGGACAGGAATGGGGGGTGGGGGGGGCTTTTCACGCTGGAATTGAAGACGCCCCTATGGACAGAAAGCAGACTGTGAACCACGTAAAGCTTGACCCACGCTGTGAGAGGGGGCTGGCGAACCTGCAGTGCAGAGGCCTTATTGGCACTTCTTGCCTTTTTCATTGTCCTGTGACCGTTTTAACGTTTTGTTTTTTCTCTTGTTGCCAATCACTGACTTTCCAAGTGGTAGGTTCTGCAGACAGGTGGGTTGGCGGGGGGCCAGGTGAGTGGACTGGAGGAGAGAGAGGGATTCAGGAGCTTCCAGCTCGGTTGAGACTGAGACACTCAGCAGTGGCTCGTAGCACTGTCCCCTCCTGACCAACTCGATCTGGCCGAGGGCCCCTGCGCATGACAGTTCCCCAACCCCAGAGCTGGAACTTTCCGACTGATCAGCAGGTCAGCCGGCCACCTGGGACACTGGGTGTCCAGCCCCGTGTTGAAGAACCATCTTTAAATGCTTCTGCATTCTGGAACTTTCCACCGAGCATCACTATCTTTAGACACAGCCCAGGGCTGCCCGTCTGAGCAGCCCTGCTCAGCTGCTTTCTGTGACGTGACCCCCCAGGAGGTTAAGGTGTCTGAGCGGTCCGTGAAGACCCATGTTCGGTGACTCCAAGACTATGTAAGCGTAGTGTTGATAACTGTCTTCTGTCAATAAAGGCTGAACGGCAGCTCTGTGGCTCCGAGGGAGGTATGGGGTGGGGGGCGTGGGGGGGAGGACAACACCCCTTCCCAGGTCAGACCCCATTTACAGGTGGGAAACTGAGGCCCAGAGAGGCGACACCACAGCCACACTGAGTGTAGGTCTTTTGACACCAGGTTCCTATCACGCCGGAAACTAGGAGGAGTGTGTCATTACCAAGAAAATTAGCACGGCTGCCACTCACTGTCCCTCGGCGCCAGGCTCCGGACAGGCATGCTCAGCGGAGGCTCAGAGAGGCTGGGTGGGACTCCCGGTCACAGGAAGAGGCCGCACTGAGTCCGCCGTGCCAGACTGCAGACTCGCAGCTCTGCAGCACGTGGGTGTGAGCCGCTGTGCCCTTACGGCCCCAGGCCTCAGGCCTCAGGAGAACCCTAGTGGGTGTGTCATCGGTTATTGCTCCCATTTGCAGATGAAGAAACTGAGGCATTAAGCAGGTGACTTGCCACCCAAGATAACAGCAAGAGGGTGTAGTCAGGAGGAGTCTTAGCTCTTAAGCAAGGCCAGGAGGAGGCTTGTGGGCTCCCCCCATGTGACACTTGGGCAAGTAAGAAAGGGGCTGGGGGCTGGGGAGGTATTAGGAAGTGCTGCAGGGACCCCACCGTGGAGACCCGGCAGGAGCCAGGGAGAGAAGCCGGGCGCTGCCACCCTGGGCTGCCTTTCTCCCCCCGCACCCCTCCTCAGCTTGGCTCCAGGGTGCCCTGTGGTCCAGGGCCCAGTCAAAGAAGCCATCACAGCCTCCAGCTGCCGGCCAGGGACTGGTTGGGGTCAGAGAGCAAGTAACCTGGCCATGTGGGTCGCAACCAGTGGACGTCGCCCCAGGCACTTTGCAGAAGTGGCGGGGCGCTAAACTGGGGGGGTCACGGTTGAGGGGTGGGTCACCAGGTGGAGAGGGCAGGCAGCCCCCATGGGTCTCGCACCCATTCCTCACCCAGCCAGTGGGGCCAGGCGTGCTCGGTCAAGGCAACCACACCAAGGTCACAGAGTCACAAGCAGGGACCATGCTGACATGGGAAGCAAGCACGAAGGGGAGCTGGGAGGGACAAGGCTTCAAGGAGGTTCCCTGTGGAGCTGGGCCGCCAATGGGGGACAGACACAAACTGCCGCTGCCCACTGCCCCGCTGCCCGAGCGCCTGCCACAGGCCGAGGCTCCTCCCCCAAACAGCACGGCAGCCCCCCACCCCCACCCCAGCGCCGGCGGCGGGGTGGCCCCACTTCCCACACGACAACACTGAGGCTCAGAAAAAACGGTTGTGCGGCTTCTCTCCCCCTGCCCCGTGAGAAACCGCCCACCTAATTCATGCGGGGGCTTACCCAAGGCTACACGCACCGCCACACGCACATCTTCTGTCCCTCCGCGGCCTCCTCCCCGTGGGGCAAGGCTGTTCTCGAGCCCTGGGGCAGGCGGAATGAGGCCCCCCCCCCGCCCCGCCCCACCCCACCCCACCCCACCCGGCCCCGCCCCGCCCCGCCCCAGCAGTGGCCACATCCTAATCCCCAGGACCTGTGGCCATGTTCTAAGAAGGGGATTTAAGGCAGCAGCTGGAATTAAGTTTGCTAATTAGCCGCCCTTCCCGCCCTTCAGACACGGAGAGTATTCTGGATTTTCCAGGTGAGCCCAATGAAACCACAGGGTCCTTATAAGTAAAAGAGAGTGGCAGGAGGATCCACGTCAGCTGTGAAGGGGGAATGGGGTCTCTAGAAGCCGGGAAAACAAAAACAAGGAACCCTCCGTCAGAGCCTCCACCCAGACGGCAGCCCACCGGCACTGGGCTTGGGCCCAGCAAGTCCCACCGTAGACTTCTGACCTCGGGGACTGCAGAAAAACAAACCCGTTGTTTTTAAGCTGCTGAATTTGGGGTGATTGTGGCGGCAGCCACGGGAAACAAACACGTTACCCTTTTTACAGAAGAGGAAACTGAGGCTCAGAGTGGCTGAGCAGCTCACCTGTGATGAAGGGAGGGGAGAGGTGGGATTCCAGCCACGCTGCTCCCCCAGAGTCCGAGAGTCTCGGGCCTCAGGAGGATCCGCCGGCTGCTGGCCGGGTTACCGCGGGGCCACGCCTCGGAGGGTCGGCGGTGGCGGGGTCTGAGCCCAGGTCTGCAGGTCTGCTGGCTCCTTCCACAGCTGCCTGGGGTAACGGGGGCTCATTAACGGAGGTTTAGGAAGGGGAATAAACGACATGGTCAGAAGTAGGACGTGAAGTATTGGGGCCAGGGGTCGCCACCTCTGAGCCATGCTGGATGCCGGACCTCCCACCCAGGTGCCACCGCCCAAGCCTGGAGGTGGCAGGGCGAACACTAAAACTGGGGACTGGGCCGTGGAGAACTTCCCGCGTGGAAGGAAGAAGGGAGGGGCAGAGGGAGGAAGGCACCGGAGCTGGGCAGGAGGAGCTGGGTGCTGAGGGAAGCAGACACTGAGAATTCGGGCATGAAAGGCTTCCTCATGGGGTCCGTACGTCTCACCCACGACGTTTAAGGGATGCAAGTAAAAAGATGCAGTGACTTTTGAGTTAAAATTACTTCTAGACTCCATTGATTAGGATGGTTACTACAGGGTTGGCCAAAAAGTCTGTTACATTTTTTTTTCCCTGTGACAGTTCTCATAGCGCTTACTTGTCTTTAACATCATTTGAAACAATTTTGTTAGACTGTATTGTGACAACAGTCATATCAGTGTGCATTAAAAAAAGAACTTATCAAAACCGGTGAATTTCTGTGCAGCCATTTAATAGTAAAGATGGAAGATACACAACATTTTCAATATATTGAAATGCAAAGTAAAAATGCAACTGAAATGCAAAAAATTTGTGCAGCGTATGCAAAAGGTGCTGGGATTGATCAAATGTGTCAAAAGTGGTTTGTGAAGTTTCTTGGTACTATTGACATTTTGGCCAAATAATTCTTTGCTCTGGGGCTGTCTGATGCACTGGTGTTTAGTAGCACCCCTGGCCTCCACCCTCTAGAAGCCAATAGCGGGAGATAGCCGACATACTCAAAATATCCAAATCAATAAAGTTAATGATGAAAATGAAAAATGTGTCTCTTATAGTATAGAAAAAAAACCCATGTGGACTTTTTGGCCAACCCAATACTAAAAAGAAAAAGCCCATTAAGCAAGTGTTGGTGAGGAGGTGGCAGGACCAGAACCCGCTGCACTGCCGGTGGGAGCGTCAGGGGGTGCAGGTGCGGGGAGAGCGGTGTGAAGCCTCCTCGGAAAAGTCCAGCAGAATCACCGCACGACCCAGCCATTCTGCCTCCGGGCGAAAAGCCAAAAGATGTAAAATCAGAGACTTGAACGAGCATTTGTACACCCATGTGCATAGCAGCATCACTCACAATCGCAGCTCAAACGTCCATCCGTGAGTAAATGGACAAATAACATGTGGTCGAGCCCCACGTGGAATATTACTCAGCCTGGAAGAGGAAATCCGCACACACGCTCTAGCTCTGGTGCACCTGCAGGTCCGTGTGCTAGGTGCAATAGGCCAGTTACAGAAGGGCGGATCC